TGGGCAGCCGCCAGTGGCTTGCAGTGTTAATAGCATTAAGCCCATCACTTTGAAGGCCATTAATGCCTTTGCTGAGGGTCACCCTGCGAGGCAGCTCTGCGATTTCTCCCAGCAGTGAGTGCAACCCAACAGGCTCGTTTCCTCAAGACTCAGAGCAGCCAAGAGCAGCCCAGGCAGAGCAAAACGAGGCAAGGACTGCCCACCGCCTGATCTGGGGCCTTGTGGAGTTTTGTTAGAGATTCCAATTAAACATCAGGAAGAACTTTCTGGCAGTAAGAGCTGTTCCACAGCGGAACAGATTCCCACTATTGGGGGTGGACTCTCCTTCCATGGAGGTTTTTAAGCAGAGGTTGGATGGATACTTTAGCTGAGATCCCTGCATTGCAGGGGGTTGGACTAGATTATGTTTACCAGATTTTTTTCAATGAATCCGGGGACACTTTTTTTTTTTGAAGCTGAGTAGCAACAGGGAGTCGGTAGTGGGGATGGTGAGGCAAAAGACCCTGGGCCCAAGCATACATGCATATTGTATAAAGGTGCAAAGCCCTTCTTTCGCACCCTGTGAAACATAAATGCGCACAGTTTTTTAAAAACTGGGCAACGGTGCGTCACCCGCCCATGACTCTTGAGCCTTCCCTGATCTCCTGCCCCCTTCCCCCTTTGTTTTGACAGATCAGGGGAGGCTCGAGAGTTGTAGGTGGGCGGCCGTTACCTAGGAGGGGTGCAAGGTGTGTAGTTTCTTTGCCAGGCAAGGTGCCAAGCCCTTCTTTTGCACCCTGTGAAACATAAATGTGCAGAGTTTTTAAAAAACTGGGCAACGGCAGCCTGTCCGTGACTCCTGAGCCTCCCCAATCACTCAAAACAAAGAGGGAAGGGGGCAGGAGATCGGGGAAGGCTTGGGAGTCATGGATGAGCAGCGTGCCATTGCCCAGTTTTAAAAAAAACTCTGTGCATTTATGTTTCACATTTTTGCCTATGTCACTGGCCACTGCTGCCATCCAAGCTATTTCTGTACCATAGCGGTTGGGTAATCTGTGGCCCTCCAAAAATTGTTGGACTCCCAACTTCCGCCCCCCAGTCAGCATGGCCAATGACTGGGGATGATGTGAGCTGTAGTCACCTAGCAACCCCTGGAAGGCCACAGTTTCCCCACCCCTGAGACGAAGAGAAAGAGCTCTAGGCGTGCTCATAGATGCTCTGTTCTGCAGTGTAAAACCACAAGGTCTAGGACAAAGTCTTGTTAAGGGGAAGGGTAACAGGTGGGACGCAATCTTGAGACTCAACATAGATTCTTTGTTTCACAGCAGGGAGAGAGTGAGTGTGAACCCACATCTCTTGGGTCACTTACTTGGTGGACCGAGGACTAAGGCTGGGGTCTGATGTCTTTATTGCCGGGTTGCAAAAGGCAAAGAGAGAATTGGCTTGTTTTATTACTGCTGCTCTTGGTGCTGCCTAATCCATTGTTACACCGGGGTGCAGTAAGGCAGTAGTTGCTGTGCATTCTACGTAAGGTTTTGCACACACCTTACATTTAAAGCACATTCTTACCACCAGGTCATCCCCCAACAGAACTACAGTTCCCAGTACAGGGGGGGGCATATTTTAAACGTATGGCATCTGCTCAGTCTTAGTGTATTTCAAGACTCTTTATTTCGTTGCATAAGCAGCTCAGGCAATGGTCTTCTGCTTTGGGGAGAGAGGCCTGTTTGATTTGTGGCTTGTTCTGATTTTGAAACCAGTCGTCGGGTTTTTAAGCTCGTTCCTAGATTGTTTATGCAAGAGCTGTTTGCTTGATTTTGCTGTAGGACTTGGTGAAGTTTGTTACCTGTGCATATCGGGGGTGGGGGGTGGTGGCAGTAGCTGCAAAAGCCAACCCTATTGCGAGCCCACCCCTTCCCAGCCAAGACCTCTGTTCTTTTCCTCTGATGCTCTATATGCCTTGACAGCTGTTCCCCATGCCCCCTCCTGCCAATGACCCAACGCCAGTGCAGATTAAAGGGCTTTGGTCTGTTTGAGGGAAGGAGGGTGGTAGTGGTTGGGGGCTGGCGGTCTGCAGGGGAGACAGTGTTGAACAGCAGCCACAGCAGCTGCTCTTGCAAACCATACAATCCAGATACAGGCTGGGTCAAAACAAACCCCTTCCCTGCCACGAGCAAATCCAGAGACTTTACTTAACACAAAGCTGATAATGGTTGCCAAGCCTTGGAGGAGTCTGGCTTCCTATTCCTCATCCACACTTGGGATGGTGTGTGTGTGTGTGTCCATCCTAAGGAGCTTTTTTTTGGGGGGGGGAATATGCCTACAAACAAAGTGACCCCAAAGGGATCGCAGAGGATTATTCCAATGGGTAAAGACAGTGCAAAGTACTGTATAGGGGGAAGGCACAAAGCCCTTTGCCTTCTGATTTCCAGAACTGGCTACTATTTGGAAAGCAAAGCAGTAAGAGAAGACAGAATTTTGTACAATACAGTCGTAGATTGGAAGTTGAACAGAATCTGTTCCGGAAGTCCATTCGACTTCCAAAACGTTCGGAAACCCAAGCGTGGCTTCTGATTGGCTGCAGAAAGCTCCTGCAGCCAATTGGAAGCCGCGGAAGCACTGTTGGACATTCAGCTTCCAAAGAACATTTGCAAACCGGAACACTCATTTCCGGTTTGCAGCATTCGGGAGCCAAAATGTCCGAGTACCAAGGCGTTCGGGATCCAAGGTACGACTGTAGCTTGCGATCTGCACTGCTGGCATTCTTTTGGCGTTGCTCAAGGCTTCTCTGTGTCTCTCTGACGCAGACATAGATCACTGGTGGGTCCTGACCCACAAGTCCCAACTGAGGGTGGGGACCCATCATCATTTTCTTCTTTTGTCTCAAGGTTGTAGGGTTGTTGTTGTTTTTTTAAGAGGAGTTGGAGTTGGGAGGGAACACACAGAGGAGGAGGAGGAGAAAGACGTATATGGTTGTGAATTTGGTGCTGGTGATAATATGGGTCCCCTATTCCAAGTTGGGATTAAAGGTAGGCCCTGAGTTTGCAAACCACATACATAGATTCCACCTCACCTCCCACAGCTATTTAGCTGATTGGAATTTGCAGGATAGCTAAATGAAGCCTCCATGTGCAGAGGCAGTGTATCAACCATTGTCCAACCTGCAGGGCTCACGGCCTCGATGAGTTGCACTGGTTCTGGAGCCCGTGCCCACTACTAGCACACAGCCCCCAAAGGGATGCCTGCAAGGGGAATGTAACCCATGGGTGATGAAGGTCTTGTCACTACCCGCGTGGCACCAAGGTCTAAGGTCCGGGGTGCTCAAAAGGGGTTTCTTGTTTCCTGCGCCCTCCAGAACGTCTTTGAGAACAAGCCCTCCGTGCCAGAGTACAAAGTGGCCTCGGTGCAGAAATCCCGCTTCATCCTCCTCCACTACAGCATCTTCAAGGCCCTGTGGGACTGGCTCATCCTCCTGGCCACTTTCTATGTGGCCGTGACCGTTCCGTACAACGTTTGCTTCACCGACACGGAGGATAGCTTGGCAGCCGCCCGCAGCACCATCGTCAGCGACATCGTTGTCGAGATGCTCTTCATCGTTGGTGAGGACTGCAAAGCTGTGCTTTACCCGGGTACCATTGGGTTGGGGCTGCTGCTGGTGGGCAATATGGGTGATCTAGCTCAGGTGAAACCTGTACAGGGATGTGAAGTGGGTGTCAAACAATGCTGCATCGGAGGTGCCCTTCATTGCAGTCTCTGTTAGCAACACTGCCTAAGGCAGTGCATACACACCATACATTTAACACACCCACCCTGAATCCTGGGAACTGTAGTTTGCTACAGGTGCTGGGCACTGTAGCTCTGTGAGAGGTGAACTACAGTTCCCAGGATTCTCGGGGGGGGGGGGTTTCAAATGTAAGATGTGTGCGCAGGCTAGGGCTATACAACAAACACGAACTTTTCACCATTGACAGTATTGAGGCTTTAATATCCCGCCTAATTAAGAGTTCTGTTGAACGCAAAAGCTTGCTTGCTGTTTTCTGACATTTTGGTTGGTCTAAGAAAGGGACTCTGGGAATTTTCTATATGACAGTTTTTGGTTTATTATGATTACGATTATTATCCATAGGTTATATATATTTCTGTCTGAGCCATTTTACCCACACGGCAACACTGTGAGGTAGGTTAGGCCTAGAGACAGTGTCTGTCTAGCCCAAGGTCACTTAGTGAACCTCATGGCTGAGTGAGGATTTGAACTGTGGTCTCCCAGGTTTTATCCCAGTGCACTAACCACTGCACCACACTTCCACTTGTTCTGTGTCTAGAAAACATGGGTCTGAGCAGTTTTCCACTTGACCTGCACTTTCTAGGCATGTGTCCGAGTGGTTTTCCCCTTGCCTCACTCCCCCCCCCCCCGGGGAAAACTCACTCTTTAAGTGCTAAATTCCGAATTGCTCTAATTGAGCATCAAAAAGCGGTTTTCCCTTGGGGAAAGCATCAGAACAAGTGTGGATAAGTCCCGGGCCTCAACTCTTTGCCATGCATGCTAGCACAACGTACCTCTTCCTCCATTTAGCTGATTTGGAGGGTTTCACTCTGAGAAAAGCTTATTAATTTGGCATGCAGAAAATGCCCAGATTATGACGTCATTGATGCTGCTGTGAAATGAAGTGCTGGTGCTTTGTCCCTGCTCCCCTAAACTACCACCGGTGTCAAAGTTCATGTAACAAATATGATGCAAAATAAAGAAAATGCTTAATTTTCAAGGACCCTCAATTGTTATTAAATTATGGCACGTTTCCTCTTCCGTTTACAACAATTACAGGGCAATTACAGTCATGTCTGTTCAGAAGTGATTCCCCACTGAATTAAATGGGGCTCACTCCATTTATAGCCAGGATTGGGAACATGTGGCCTTCCAGATATTGCTGGACTACAATTCCTATTATTACTCCTATAACTATTACTACTACTAGTAGTAGTAGTAGTATTACTATTATTTCTATACCACCCTTCATCCGAAGATCACAAGGCAATTTACAATATAAACACAAAAATACATACCATAATCAGCAGCAGCAGCAGCAGCAGCTGAATCAGCTGAACAAATCCTTTTGCCTACTAATATCCTTTTTGCAACTTCCAAGTTGTCAAAGAACAGCCCTGACCATTGGTTGTTCTGGATGGGGATTCTGAGAACATCCAAAAGGAGTTCCCTTCCCTGGGGTGTGGGGTTGCAGTAGACTTGCCTTCGAGGTGTTAGATGAGATGCCACATAACTACATGGGTTTAATGGGAGGATAGGTAAGGAACAGCAGCCTCCTTACAGCTTTTCATTGGCTCCGTATCGGCAGCATAACACAGTAGAATACATTCAGCTATACTGGATACTGGTGGGCAGGCAAGGAGAAAATTGGGACCGTGCGACTCTTAGATTTCTACTAATCACACCTGGTACATGCCTGGCTTCCCCCAGTGAATTCTGGGAATCATAGTTTGTGGTGCTATTGCGAATACTGTGTTAGAGAATCTCAGGCACCTTCACAAATCTGCAAGTTTCCAAAGTGACCTGATGGGGAGAGATAGAGGGTGACTCAAAATGGATTTCGACGTGCAGCAGAATTGAAATTTCGATGTGCCCTTGGGTATTATTAATTGTGATTAATAGATGGTGGGGAAGTGCTAGCCTTCCAGAGGTTGCTGAACTATAACTCCCATCGTCCCTTGGCCATTGACCATGGTGGCTGAGGCTGATGGGAGTTGTAGTTCATCAGAATCTAGAGGGTTCCCCACACCTGTACTAGATGCTAGGGAGAAGAAACTCTGGAGGACTATCTCCAGCTTGCTGCCCTGCTTGTGAACTTCCTTTGGAGGCAGAGCCTGAGGTTGTTTGGCCCTTTCGCTTGATGCAAGACAGGTGTGGGGAACCTTTTGCCTGCCAGATGTTCCTGAACTACAACTCCCACTGGCCAGGGATGATGGGAGTTGTAGTTCAGGAACATCTGGCAGGCAAAAGGTTCCCTACACCTGAACTAGGAAGAGATCTAGGTATGCCTTTGTGTTGTTGTTGTTAAGGTGTGACGTTGTGCTTTCACGTTTGATTTGACATAAGGCTTCCACGTGTCTCTTCATGTGGAAGACGTGGCCTTGTCACTGCCTGGGTTGGGGGACGTGACCAGGAGCACACATATGGTTTGTGAACTTACTGCCCCTTTTTTCTGATAGACATTATTCTGAACTTCCGCACCACGTACGTCAGCCAGTCGGGCCAGGTGGTCTATGACACCCGTTCCATCTGCCTCCACTATGTGGCGACTTGGTTCTTTGTGGACTTGATTGCAGCCTTGCCCTTTGACCTCCTCTATGCCTTCAACGTCCCTGTGGTGAGTCTGCCTTTAAACCTGCCCCTCTGAATCAGCAAGAGGTGAACGCTGAGAAGGGCCTCGGGCCTTTTCAGCTGGAATTGCTGAGCAGCCTCTTTCTAAAAAGAGAGGTCTGCCTGGAGGTGCCGCCCTCTGAACTGCCTGATCTCAAGCAGGTCCCTTCTGCTCTTGCAAGGAGGAATGTGCTCATTACAAGAAGTGATTTGCACATGATGAAGCGCCACAGAAATGATAAGCAGCTTCGAGAAATGCCCCACGCATCATCACCCCTAATGGGTGCAAGGTGACTTGGCCACTGAGTAGTGACAGAAGATAACTTTGCACATCCTCAGCGGCACAGTTATTATAATAACAATGGTAAAAACATAATTTTTATAGCACTTTATTATCTCAACAGATCTCGCAGTGATTTTATAGGGTAGGTCAGTATTATTTTTATAAGTATTACCTGCAAAAAAAAATAGTGGCAATATAGAGTGCTCCTTTTCAGGGCTCCAACCCTTCTGAAAGATATGCCATTCCTTTCCCCCTCACCACTGACTTTCTACACACACACACACACACACACACACACACGTCAGTAGCTGATTTCAGAGTGGCTCCAAATTTGGTTTTTAAATCAACTAAATCAGGGGTGTGGAAGAGCCCGTAGCACTCCACATGTTGTTGCACTTCAATTCCCATCATTCCTGACCACTGGCCTTGCAGGCTGGGGATGATGGGAGCTGGAGTCCAGTACCACCTTGAGCGCTACAGGCTCTCCATCTCTGAACTAAATGCTGCAAGGTTCCTCCTGTAGCTAATCCCACACCCTGCCTCTGCTGCTTCGTGCTATTGGATGCACCTTTATTTCTTAGCCTCGGTTTCCCGGGGGGCTCATTAAGCAGCTTGACGAAGTGTCTCATGCTAACATGAGACCTTCGACTAATGAGGAAGCTTATGCAGTTGCTAGCCAGCCATTGCTTTCTCCTGGCAGCGTGCTGAGCAAATGGAGGTCACTAGGTTTGAACTCCTTGCTTCCTAATTTAATCGTGTCAGATTCCACCTGCTTTTCAAAGTAACAGTGACTTCACCTCAGTCCTGCAATAGTGGGAGTTTGAACCAAGACCTCCAGAGACCCGGCAAAGGGCAACTCCTCCATTCTCAGAACTGTTATAATCAGCTTCTGAAATAAGAACTAACTGCAGAACCCAAGGCTGTGTGCACACGATACCTTTAAAGCACATTTGAATCACATTCTTTCCCTCAAAGAATTCTGGGCACCTTAGTCTACCCTCACAGAGTTACAATTCCCAGAAACCCTTAACAAACTACAGTGCCCAGAATTCTTTGAGGGATCGAATATGCTTTGAATGTGCTTTAAAGTCATGGTATGTGTACACAGCCTTAGCCTGCTTTGAAGTCACAAAATCTAAATTCTGGAAGTGCAATGGGGGCTGGCTGTGGCTACTCAGTTGTGATGGGGATCCACTTTGCATGTGAACAAAGGAACGTTGTCTTGGTACAACCATGCTTCATGTGATTTAAGCTCTGGAAAATTTGCATAATTTGGGGGTAATGAGGTGGCAGTCTTTCAGCCCTTGAAGCCCATCCTTATCTCAGGCCCAATCAAGCCATCTCAATGGCGAATAAGATTTCAGATTTATCCCCCAGCCAGTATGGGACGCGTGGGCTGGGTAAAGCCTCAGGCTGGCTTGCCGACGAAGTCGGCGTTCATCCCGCGCCAAGGGTGCGCTCGCGTCGGTCACAGCGCTGCACTAGCTTCGAAGCCCCGGGGAAGAGATAAGGGACCGCTTACAGCGGAGGTTACAGGTTTCGTGTGGGCTCCACTGCCAGACAGCGATGTCACGCTGGCCGACCCGGAGTGTTCGGACAGCGTGCCAGCCTATAGAGTAGAGGAGCGCACAACGGTCTGGCAGATCCGTACGGGCAATACACTTACCGACTATTTAAGGCTAAGAAAAGGACGCTTGTCGGTGGGTGTTGGGAAAGAGTCCATCTGCGGACTATGATTTATTTGTTTATTCCATTTATAGCCCCCAAGGGAAAAAAACTTTCTTCCCCACCCATTTATCCGCATATCAGCCCTATGATGTAAGCCAGGCTGAGTTGTAGCAATTGGCCCATGATCACGCATTCAGCTTCAGGTCTAAATGCATGGTATGTTAATGCTGTGATGAGCAATCACATTGCAGGCTTTCTAAAATAAAATACGTATCAGGTACGGGGAGTGGGATAGTCAATGTCACTGCAGTACAAGAGCAAGTTGAATCCTTTCTTCCCCACCTAGCCATAATAATGGGGGGGGGGGAGTACTGCAGAAATCAGTATTGGCACCGATGGGAGTCCTGCCCTCCTAATACTAATTTCCATTGGAGTGGTGTGATGCTTGCCAAGATCATAGCTGGGGAGGAAAGGCTTAAACCTCCCTCCCCTGTGTGCTGTGCTGTTGATGACTACCCCCACCTCCAGCCACTTGCCTTGCCTGTCTGTCTATCTATCTATCTATCTATCTATCTATCTATCTATCTATCTATCTATTTTAAAAAAGGAAACTCTAACCATGTTGTTACTATGAAGTACAATTAAGCCCAGAGAGGGGATCTGAACCTAGGTCTCTGCAGTTCTAGTCTAACACTGTTACCCACACTTGCCCACACAAGAATTGCCCAATGCAGGAATAATCTGATAAACAGTGGAAAATTGGGTTCTACTCAGGGTCACAGATGATTTGTTTTGGTGTTTTTAGGTGGGTGGATCAATCATCACTTTCTGCTACTCCCCTTTCCACACCCACTGCTTCCTCAATGCTCTCGGGTCCGTCCCCCCCAGCCATGCTCGTAATTATTTGTGGTGCACTCCTAAACGGAGTGTGGCTTTTTATATTCCTTTCGATCCCTCAGATTTGCAACACACACACACACTGCCCCAGAAAACTGCATGTTAAAAATTGCATGCTGAAATTTTGCAGTTGCCCGAGTGTGTGCATTTGCACACTTCTTGGATGGGATTTAAAAACAAAAAGGGAAAGACAAGGTTCCTGTGAAGCTGAGTGCATGCCCTGTCACAGTACTTAGTTGGCCTAATAGGATAAACAAATTAGAAGGCAAAGACAAACACAAAAGGGAGCACCTGGTATAATCAGCAGGAAAGATCAAACTTGCTCCTTGTATACAAATCCAGGTTCCTTCCAACTGTGGACTACTCCAGTAGATAAGTTACCACTCTTGCTTAATAGCCTAACAGACAAAAAGCAAGGTTTTATTTAGTTAGTAGCTAAGTTTATATCCCACCCTTGCTCCCAAAGGAGCCCTGTGTGGCAAACATAGCAGTGGCCAAACAATACAATTAAAAATAAAATATATTTTAAACAATTAAATACATCTAAAAGCACGTAAAACCATCTCAAACTAATAATTTCAAGGATGTCATGGACAGTATCATTCAGTCATCAAATGCCTGGGTAAACAGGGATGCTTTTAAATTCCTCCTGAAAGTTCATAGTGAGGGAAGGAGACACACCTCACCAGGGAGAGCATTCTGTAAACAGGGAGCCACCACTGAGAAGGCCCCGTCCCAAGTCAATGCCAACCGGGGAGCATGTAATGTCCATGACCCACTCTGATTTATTTTTCTCCCTTCTCCTTCCCCAGACCTATCTGGTGCACCTGTTGAAGACAGTGCGCCTCCTGCGCCTGCTCCGTCTCCTCCAAAAGTTGGACCGCTATTCTCAGTACAGTGCTATGGTCCTGACTTTGCTCATGTCCATGTTCGCCCTCCTGGCCCATTGGATGGCCTGCATCTGGTATGTCATCGGCCGGCAGGAGAGCAACGATCCAGTGACCTGGGACATTGGTGAGCTTAAGGAATGACTGGGCAGCCCTCCTCGTGGAAACTCTGGGTGTGTGGCTCGGGATGGCACTACATGCGTCTCCTTGTGGGAACCCATAGCAAGGCTGCTGTGCATCCTGGGAAAGGAGTGGGCACTGAGCCACAGGGCTTAAACAAACACACTTTCTTTTCTACTCCTTGGGCAACCTTTGAAGAAGAAGAAGAAAATAACATAGATCTGCATGTTTACAGCATGGTTCAGTTTGACCCAGCAGAAAGCTGATGTTGGAAGGGACAGAAGGGCTAGTGTCTGTAACACCTCCTCTTCCCCCAACCTCTGGATCAGTTTTCTAACTTTTAAGCAAATGTTTACATTTTCAAACATGAATGCGTAAGCCAGGGGAATGGAGCCTATGGCCCTCCATGTTTTGTTGGACTCCAACTCCCTTCATCCCTGACTGCTGGCTATGCTGACTGGGTTTGATGGGAGTTGGAGTCCAACAAAACATGGAGGGCCACATATTCCACATCCGTGCTTTGGCAGACTGGTGAGGGCAATGCTGGCTTCTGGGATTCTGTGGCAGCTGTTTCTGAGAAACTCTCTGGGGTGAGCGGGAAGGCCCTAGTATCTGCATCATATGCTCCTTTCTCTGATAGCGGGATGCAGTCTGACCCACTGCAACAGGATTAACCCTTCACTGTGCCCTGCAGGCTGGCTCCACGAACTGGGCAAGCGGATCGAGGCCCCGTACATCAACAGTTCTGTGGGAGGACCCTCCATCCGCAGCGCCTACATCGCTTCCCTCTACTTCACCCTCAGCAGCCTGACCAGCGTGGGCTTTGGCAACGTGTGCGCCAACACGGACGCCGAGAAAATCTTCTCCATCTGCACCATGCTCATTGGTGGTAAGTCCATCACAGGCAGGGCTGCATATCTCTCGTAACAACAAGTGCACCATGGGGGGGGGCATAGGGTTTTGGCACTGGTGTCTAGCATCCAGATAAACCTGGTTTCCATTTTGCCAGAAAGCAAGTTTCTAGTCCTTATCATTTGCAAATGTGGGCAGGGCCTAGCGAAGTCTTGAAAGACAAGGTTGAGATGGGGGACTGCTAGACAGGATATTTTCACATGCTAAAAGTGTTTGGTGTTTGGTGCAGAGTGCTTTGCCCCTCCTAAAGATAAGCAGAAGTAGAATAAATTAGGCAACAACAACAAGCCCACTACCACCCACTACCATTCAATGCAACATTTGGGCTACCTGGGTGGGGCTTTGAGTGGGGCTTTGAGTGATGCTGTTAGTTGACCAGAGTCCAGGGATCAATGTGAGGGTGTGATCTTCACCTTGTAGCCTTTGGTGTGCATGTGGTGCCTCTTTGAAGTGGTTTGAGAGGTGAGCTTCGATAGTTAAGACTTGGGGCTTATCCACACTTAGCTTTCCCCTGCTCTTTCCAGGCATGGTCCATGCTTTAAAGCTCCGTTTCTGAGTACACTTTTCTCCCTCTAGAGCTTTCCCTGCAAAAACCTGCTTTTTAAAACTGGATTTGGAACAAATGGCAATCCATAAAGGTAAAGGTAAAGGTACCCCTGCCCATACGGGCCAGTCTTGCCAGACTCTAGGGTTGTGCGCTCATCTCACTCTATAGGCCGGGAGCCAGTGCTGTCCGCAGACACTTCCGGGTCACGTGGCCAGCGTGACAAGCTGCATCTGGCGAGCCAGCGCAGCACACGGAACACTGTTTACCTTCCCGCTAGTAAGCGGTCCCTATTTATCTACTTGCACCCGAAGGTGCTTTCGAACTGCTAGGTTGGCAGGCGCTGGGACCGAACGACAGGAGCGCACCCTGCCGCAGGGATTCGAACCGTTGACCTTTCGATCGGCAAGTCCTAGGTGCTGAGGCTTTAACCCACAGCGCCACCTGCGTCCCTATGGCAATCCATAGAAAACCCAAATTGCCACTTGCTCCAATTGAGCACTAAAAAGCAGGTTTTCATGGGGAAACCTCTTGGGGGTGAGGTGGGAGACCATGCTTGGACACAGAGCTTGAAAGCACAGACTTGTGCCTGGAAAGAGCAGGGCAAAAGTTAAGCATGGATAAGCCTTCAGAGACTCTTGTGCCGGCAACTCATTATATGTCTCTGGTCTGTTGATCTCTCTCTTTCATCCTCAGTTCCTCCCATCTGTAAAATGGACATAAAAGAAACAAGTGTAATTCAGAAAATGAGAGGTGCAGGGGGCACATGCCTGTCACTCAGCTGATGTCAGCTGGTCAGCAGGTGGGCATGGTTTTGGGGGGAAATGGCCTTATGGGCCAAATTAGGGTCCCAAGATTGGCCCACAGGTGGGAGGTTCTCCACCCCTGGTTTAGAGGTCACAAAGCAGACTGTGTGGCACTCTAAGTTGTCCTCTGGCAGAGCAGCTGGGATGGCTGCTGCCCCATAGTTTTCTGACATGCCTAGGAACACAGGAAGGCTGCCTTGCATTGAGCCAGACCAATAATCTATTTAGCCCATTGTTGCCTAGACTGACAGAAAGCTGCTCTCCAGGATTAGAAGGCAGGGAGCATCTCCTAGCCTTACCTGGAGATGCTGAGGATTGAACCTAAGATGCTTCAGCGCTGAGCTACAGCCCTTCCCCTCCTGCTTAATGATAGGGCTGGCCCTGATACCAGACCTGAAAAGGAATTAAGTCCTGGGAATATGCTACGGCCGCCCTATTCCAAGTGCTGCTTGGGTGATCATGAGAAGGAGATGGAAGTCAGAGAGGCCTCCCCAGAAGGAAGCGCTGTAGTCATAAAGTGACTTTTGTTATGGTCCCATAGACTGGCTAAATGCATGTTCAGGTCACATCAAAGACAAAAATATTTTAGATAACCTAAACGGCTGCACTTTAGAACAGGAGATGAGGAGATTACTCTCCTTTGAGAGTAAAGCAGGAAGAATGAGAAATAGAGGGGGTGGGTGGTTTATTATTTTTGTCCAATTTTAAATTTTTGTTTCTAAATTTATCATAATGCTCTCATAGGGCAGTCCAGGGAGGGGGAATTCCAGGCTCAGAAATAATTGGCCCATCTAAGCTTTATTAGCAGTGATAAAACCTCCAGGCTCAAAAGCAGTCTACTTCTGGAATACTAGCCATTCTGGATAAGCAACAGAGGGAAAAACTTTTTTTTGAAAAAAATTTAGTTTAATTTAGTTTAGTTTATTACATTACATTTATATCCTGCCTTCTTCTCTGGAGAATTCAAAATGGCATACAGACTTCTCCCCATCTTTGTTTTATTCCCACAACAAGCTGTTAGATAGGTTAGACTGAAAGACAGTGACTTGCCCAAAGTCACCAGTGAGCATCGTGGCTGAGCTGAGATTTGAACCCTGATCTCTCAAGTTTCTGAGCACAATTCAACATGTTGTTGCTAACCTTTAAAGCCCTAAACGGCCTTGTCCTTGTATACCTGAAGTAGCGTCTCTGTCCCCCGTCGTTCAGCCTGATGTCCAGCTCTGACGGTCTTCTGGCAGTTCCCTCACTTCTGGCAGTTCCCTTACAGGGAACAAGGCAGAGGGACTTCCAGATAGTGGCACCCACCCTGTGGAACGCCCTCCCATTAGATGTCAAAGAGATAAACAATTATATGACTTTCTGAAGACATCTGAAGGCAGCTCCGTATAGGGAAGTTTTTAATATTTAATGTTTTACCATATTGGCCTGAATATAAGCCACACTTTTTTTCTAAATTCTGACCGTGAAAAGTTAAAGTGCGGCTTAATTTCATGACCTTACAAAAATTGGCTTTTATGATATTGCCGCTGAAACAGACATATGGTAAAACGGAACGAGTGTGAGTGCCTGCAAAATTTTAAGGGAGCAGCTTATATTTGGGTATTGTCTTTTATTCCTCCCCCCTCCTTGAATTTTAAAGGTGCAGCTTATATTTGGGTGTGGTTTATATTTGGGCCAATATGGTATTATGTTTTTATTTTATGCTGGAAGCCACCCAAAGTGGCTGAGGCAACCCAGTCAGATGAGTGGGGTACAAATAATAAAATCATCATCATCAGTATTATTATTATTATTATTATTATTATTATTAGTCCTTGTCCAGCACCTTAACCACTACTCCACACTGACTTGTGTTCCATCTGTTGGGAACAGGATGCCAATCTAGATAGGCTAAGAGAGCTCTTCTTCTCTCATGCCCCTTTCCTCCTCTCTGCCCCAGCTTTGATGCATGCCGTGGTCTTTGGCAACGTGACAGCTATCATCCAGCGCATGTACTCGCGGCGCTCCCTCTATCACACCCGCATGAAGGATCTCAAGGACTTCATCCGCGTCCACCGCCTGCCCCAGCAACTCAAGCAGCGCATGCTGGAGTACTTTCAAACCACGTGGTCTGTCAACAACGGCATTGATGCCAATGAGGTAAGGGCAGCTCACTCTCTGTCAGTTTTAGGCTGGATTCCTATGCCCCCTTATTATAGAATAAGCACAACTGAACTGAATGAAACTGACTTCTGACCAGATGTTCATAGGACTGAACACTATTAACTCCCTTCTAAGGGTCACAATGATTTGGGAGATTCCCCCCCCAAAATCTGACTTTTTGCAGTAAGGAAAGTGATGGGGAAATATACTAGGAAAGTGTGAAATAACGAATATTTGAGATGAGGTCGTCTAACCTCCCAACAAACAAAACAGAATGGGTAATTAGCCAATATTGTCTAAATTTTCTGCAAACTTTGTGAATACAAATCAGGAAGGGTGCTCAATGGAGCAGGTCATCTGGACACGGCCTTAGGGTCTGGGGCTGAAGAGCACTCCTACATAAAGGAGGATAAAATGAAACAGGTTATGAGAGGAGCCTGGGGGTCAGACCCCGGCCCATTTGTGGTTTGTGGTGGCACAGTGGACTCCAATTGCACCAAATCCCATGCTGAGGCTCCATGCTCCTCCTTTCCCTTCAGCTCCTGCGGGACTTCCCAGATGAACTACGAGCGGACATTGCCATGCACTTGAACAAGGACATTTTGCAGCTGCCGCTCTTTGAGAGTGCCAGCCGCGGCTGCCTGCGCGCCCTTTCCCTGCACATCAAGACATCCTTCTGCGCCCCTGGGGAATATCTCCTCCGCCAGGGAGACGCCCTGCAAGCAAATTACTTTGTCTGCTCAGGCTCCCTTGAAGTCCTTAAGGACAACATTGTACTGGCCATTTTAGGTAAGACTCTGGGAGAGCCGCACAGTGCAATCTGTGTCTCTTTGGGGATTCGAGGGTGGTCTCTGTATTAGGGTGAGGCTGGGGCCACAAATAAGCTCTGTGTTGGGGCTAGGGCAAAAATCAGTTTTGTTTGCATTTTTATGAGAAACTATCTGATCTGTGCTTCTCAAACTAATACATGAAATCTGCACTTCTCCAAATTTTGTGATGCAGTTCTCTGGTCAAGCAGTTTGTAAAACAACGTGTATGTTAGGGGAAATGTGCACAGATATGCATATATTGGTGAAACTAACTGCAAAAATTCATTATGTTAGAGGAACTTGCTTGCAAAAATGTGTCCATTAGACAAAACTGCATACAAAAATACATTTATTATAAGAAATTTGCACTAAAATGCTGATTGATTTTCTTAAGGATTTCTGTTAAACCTGCAAATTGCTGAGGAAACGTGGAAAACTGAATTTAAGATATGAAAACTGAGAAACAGAGGGCAGATCCACACCAGGAAGTACATTCAACAGATATTTAAAGTGCATGGCTTCCCCCAAAGAATTGTGGGAAGTGTAGTTTCACCCTCAAAGAGATACAATTCCCAGCAAACTACAGCTCCCATGATTCTTTGGGAGAGGCCACATGCATTAAATGTGCTTTAAATGTATAGCGTGGATCAGCCCCAAGATAAACCAAAATTGACAAATTAATCCATTCCTGACCATTAGCAGTGCTGGCCAGGGCTGATGGAGAGTTGGAGACAAACAACACCTGGAGGTCCACAAGTTCCCTGCTCTATATTAATCCTGCTTTGGAATACGCCATTGGCATAAAGAGCTGGGCAGCTGAGGGCTGAAGCCCAGCAGGCATCAGCTCTTGGTTTGATGACAGGAAAATCCAGGTTCCTGCTGTCCAGTCCAGAGACATGTTGCTGACACAAGGGACACCCCTTGTGAGCCTAGAAAAGGCTCTGAGACCTCAAAGGACACACAGCTCACTAGGCTAGTCCCAGCCTCAACCCCGGCCCATGGGACTCCCAGTTCGAGCCCCTCCATCAGAAGATGGGGGAGAGATGAGGGAACACATGAGTGGCCTCCCTGCTTCCAACTCCGTTCAGGCGCTCCCCAAATCCTGACTCATCTTCCTTAGGTAAAGGGGACCTCATTGGGGCTGACCTGCCCAATAAAGACCAAGTAATCAAGACCAATGCAGACGTCAAGGCGCTGACCTACTGCGACCTCCAGTACATCAGCCTGCGTGGGCTCTTCGAGGTGCTGGAGCTGTACCCCGAATATTCTGCCAAGTTCATGGCCGACATCCACCAGGACCTCACCTTCAACTTGCGGGAGGGCAGCGAGATTGAGGTAGGGGTGTTTGTGTGCTGCAGGTGACCC